GCAAGCAAGAAATGCAAAAGCCTGAAGTGTAATTATAGAGGACTGCCCCTTTTTATAAAAGTGCATCCTTGTGAATTTTCAAGCTGCATTTATAGGCAGCAACAAATATAGCACTCTTACCCCAATCGCTGTCAAGATGGGAACCTGATAGATCCATTTGATGTTTCCAGCACTCAACTCCCAGCACCTGCAGGTGACACAGGTGCAGAGGAAGGAAGATTCTCAGTGAGCGAGGCAGAAGCAAAAGGTGATGGTGTCATTCAGAAAAGCAGACTGAGTAGAGAAGTGGAACTGTGTAGAGAAACTCTGAAATACTCGAGACTGCAGTGATGGCGTGATGATCCTAGTTTCTATTATTTTGGATCCGAATGTCCTGTGATAATAACTGAATATGAGCTTCTTTTGGAGGTTTTCACATCTTTAAGTTATATTTTCTGGATTTAACATGGCACTGATTTATTTTCTGTGCCATCTTTGAGTTTTGTTTCCTTTTAGTTAATGTAGGGAGGAATTTCAGTTATTGTTTATGTCTTTGTTTCATATAACAGTAGCCTGAGGTCCCTCCGTGCTATTGCATCTGTTCCTCTCTTTAAATATTCACATCCTCTATTGTTCCCTGTTTTCTTGTTTCGTGCGTCCTTCAGGTTACTTTGGTTGGTTTTACTTCCTGTCTCTGTCTTCCCCTGGCTCTTCTAACCTGTTCCGACTTGTCTCTTGTTGTCTAATCAGCCCTTTGTGTATAAATAGTCCTGTCTCCCCTTTGTGCTTTGTCGAAGCATCTGTTTCCCTGTGTGGTGCTCTCAGTGGTCTCCCGTGACTTCTCTTGGTTTCTAGACTTTATTTATGGCCTAAATGCAGGTTTCTGTTATTTAACTCTGCCTCTGGTTTCCTACATTTGGGTCCAAAGCTCTACACTCAATGCTTTTAGACACACGGAGCAAATAAAAAGGTGTATGAATAAAGTCAGAAACAGGCAGAGGTGTGACCTACTTTAGATACTGCTGAAGAAGAACAGCAAAGGAAAATTAGATATTTTCCATTTAACTTGTTAATACATTTTAAATTCAAAGGAAAATGTTAGTTTTTTCATTTTTGATTATAAATTTTTAAATTTACTTTTTTTTTTTTTTTTTAAATCTTGGGTTGTTTTTATTATTTCGGGTTTAATTTAATTTCCCAATTCTAGTTTAGGTCATATCACATTATTTAAATATTTTGATTAAGGATTTTAAAATGCCAAAATGTCAGCTTGTATTTCTTGCAGTAGTTTGTGGTGAATATTGTCATGTTGCACAAACCAGTACATTGACCGACTGCCTGCATTCGTTGTTCCCGTTTTGACTTATAATTCCTGTGGTCTCTCATGTTTAACTCTCTAACAACTCTTTTCATTATCCAGATTTTGCCTTGTGTACTTCAAACATTGGCAATGTCTGAAGGTGCTTGATTTGGTGTCAAGCACTCCAAATCAAGCATTCTTTGCATATCAAATCCTGTATTTCACTGATTCAAATGTCACCACAATTAAGCAGTGATTACAACATCCCGCCTCTCTTCTTATTCATTTCCAAGTTTTATTTTTTCCAAACTTTTTTGGCAGATGTTTTTATAACCCTGTGAGGTCTTAGCTATCAGAGGAGATGAGCCCAATGCTTACACAGTCTCTGTGGTATCACAATATGTCATTATAGTTTTTATATCATTTTCTTAAAGAAATCAGAAGACAAAGACGGTTATCCTTCTGACTGGCTATTATCTACATTTTGAACACAGAAGACAGTTTTTACACAGTTTTTACAAAACACAGGGTTAGGGTTAGGTTTTGGAGGGACGGTTGGAGGACATCTTACACCTCACAGGGATAATCTCGTTGGAGTCTGAGTCCTCTCTCTCTTACCTTGCATCTGCCACTGTTGCCCTGACGATCGCCCACACTGCCACAAAAATAGCTGGAACACCTGAAATTAGACATAATGCAAAATGAGATGTTTTGCAGGTGATGTCATATGTGCTGTTTACCTGATTTATTTCCCAGACTGCACTTCACATTGTTTGTCGCTGTATCTCTGACACATCACAATACAGAAAGAGAACCAAGCTGAGGTGATCGTTACAATTTAAAAGCAGCCTGTTTGCTTTATTGACAAAAGTGTAAAATGGTTATTTTAAAATAACATTCAGTCACGACAGAGTGGATCCTGGTGAAAGGTGTTGTATTGGTGTTGTAAAAGGTCACATTACTCAAAGGTCACAAAGTAGGAGAAATAAAACCCGACACAGGCATGTTAGCTAATGCAGGCATCACACACAGAACATGACGTGAATGTAAACATCAGCATAATCCCACATTCTGGTGACATACAGACACACTTAATTACACATTCACACTTCATGACATAACGCCCTCCTACCCAGCAGCTTTGATTCATGGCGAGTTTCACGTTTGCTCCTCAGAGCAGCACATTCAGCCTCTCCTGTCAGGCGTAATTCTTCTGTCTCTAAAGAGCTTTTGTGTGTTTTCTTATGAGTACACAAACACACATGCAGGGACTTCCTAAAGAAACTTCTAACTGCACCGTTACTTTGTTCAAACTGTGTGGGTTGTTATTGATTTCCCTTCCACTCCACAGTTTCTAAACCATTTAAAAACACTTAAATGTACCAGTGTAAAAACAAGAGTAAATGCATTAACTATTCGACTAAGATTTGGTACCTTTGGGGAGTAATATGTTTAAACCTAAACTTTAGAGTGGTTTTATAGATTAAGTTACTCCACATTCTCATTCCCAGAGTGTTAAAGCCAGTTGTTTAGTCATAAATCCACAAGGACTCCTTTGACTTCAGTGAAAACAAGGTTTAAAGTTTCATCCTCCCGTGAATCTCTGGAGCACTTTATGCTCAGCTGTTACTTCAAGATCGCTCCTTAAAATGCTTGCAGAGGGCAATTTTACCACGGTCTTCGACTTGGACAGAGTAAACATCAGCTTCTTTCAAACCTTCGGATGAAGTATCGTGGTGGTTATTGTGCAGCTGGTGCTGAGAACTGGGTCTCCATCTATGGCTTAGCAGTTTTAAACTAGAAGTATGCTTGTTGTTCATTTCAACATTCCCAGGGCAGTGCACCATTTATGTCAACTGGAGTCAAACCGTACCATGGCGAGGTGGCTGAGAGGGAATATTCAGTAACATAACCGGAACCACTTCACTGTAGTGTTCTTGTGCATCTGAATGGGTGCTATTTCAAAATCACTCCCTTTAAGCATGTTTGCAAGTCTGCAGTTTCACTACTGTCCTCAAACTTGTTTCAGTCCTGCATGTTGACTATCATAGTTGGAGCCTGAGCACTAAAAGTCCAAATGCTCTATTGTATCTGCTCTGTTTACTAATTCGTCAAATGAATTAGCTTTTTGGAGGCCTAAACATGCAACAGCTAAATCACAGAATTTAGCACACACATCAGGTCTGGTAAACATAATTTCCTTAGGGATTAATAAAGTATTCTGATTCTGATTCTGGAAGAAAAAAAATTACATGTTTATTGGTTTGGGGTTTTCAAAATGCCACCTTTGCAGGTTATAAATAAGTATTATGGACACACAGTTTGAGGTACATGAATGAAATTTGGTACATATGTGTAACATGCAAAGACAGACAACAAAGTCTATGGCCTCCCAAACCCAACAGGAAGTCTGCCATATTGAACTGAAAATGGCTTTTTCAAACTCCACGTAGAGATTTTAACAAATAAAGCTCATATTCAGTCAGTTTAAACTATTAAACTGCTGAACTTACATTACACACACATTGTCTAATCTCGACCCAACTTTTCAGGTATGATAAGGATTTACCCCTGAACATATTCTAATTGTAATACTTAATAGCGGTCACAGTGCCAGGAACAGGACATGCAATGATTTATACTATTGTGTATTTCTCCTCCCAGGTTGACCAAATCCATCTCAAAAGTGGTCAAAATCAACATCAGGTAGTGATGATGCTTCAGTGTGAAACTGTAAGCAACAAAATAGTGCGCTTGATATACGAGTCTCAAATTTGGCAGCCTTACGGAATATTTCAAGGTGTAGAAAAAAATCTCTTGGAGCCAAATCCCAAAGCCAGCAGGAAGACAGTCATACTGAATTTAAGAATTTAGTGCTTTGTACTTTAACAAACCCCTCCAAAACATTTCCTCAGATCAACATGAACAATGGTGATCTGACAAAGTGCAAACTGAACTCCTTCGTGATATTAAACTGCGAAGATTTTGAGTTTTCATGAAAGGTCATGGTGGCATGACAAATTTCAATTATTCATCACAGGACGCACCTTATCCAGTCTGTCCCTAACTTCACGTGCTGGATTGGACACGCCTACATGCTAATATTAGGTCACACAGTAGGTAATAATCATCATTTAATCTACGTGAAATTTAAATTGTTTGTTCCACGCCTGATATACATTAGTGTGATATACGGTTAGACAACTGACAAAGAGTGGGCACAGAAGGTGTTCAGTAAGTAAGTGACGCAGCACCCAATTAGCTTCCTAAACTGAAAACAGCCACATGTCCGTGTGAGTCTAGTCAACCGCAGTATGCCCGAGACGTAGCTCAGTTCGACCTCAGCACGGGTGGGCTGAAGCCGGCCTGGACGTGTGGCAGGGCGTGAGGGCCCTCTCGTTGCTGTTTGCAGCTTTAATTGGTCATTAAATCTGAGTCTCCATGTATGTCTGATTCTGAATTTTTAACAAGTTTCAATTAAAGAGTCCAGTTTCCAACCCAGAAAGCAATGCACTGGGTCAGAAATGCAATCAGCAGCATACGTGTCCTGTTTATTCCCACATTCAGAGTTTTCCACTGTGAATTACTCCAAATGCTATCCGATGCCTGAGAAA